GAGGTAGTATAGAAATAGTTTTAGAAATAAAAAAAAAATAGGCTTAATTATGTTTTTAATCCTCCAAATTTAGGGTAATTATTTTAGTTTCATTATATATTCTTCTAGTTCTTCAAACTTAAAACATCTGATTTTAATCTTTAAAATATAAAAATTATTATTTAGTTCCCAAGGTTATTGATAACATAATTGATAGTAAAAAAATTAAGATAATTTTATAATATTAGGTCTAATGTGATATTTTCACCGACAATAACATTAGTAAAATAATTATGTGTAATAGATTAATTAATAACATTTGAGATGAGGGATTAACATAATAATAATAATAATAATAATAATAATAATAATAATAATAATAATAATAATAATAATAATAATAAAAATAAATTTATATATATACATACTATATATATGGGAGCTAAAAGGATATATTTTGAATTTGAAAGATCAAAATAATAATTTTTTTTATAACAGACTAAAAATGAAAGTTTATAATTTTAGAACCAAATAAATACATACCTCAAATTTGAAAAATTAAAAACATAATTAAGCTAAAAATATTTAAATAGGACAAAATTATTGTTATCCACCAAACTAACTATTTTTTTTTAATTTTAATAAATTAAAATAATTGAGTTTTATATATAAAAACAAAGTAATAGTATTTTATTTAAAAATAAGATAAAATATAAAATAAAAAAGATAAAAAATTAAGGCTATGTTTGATTTATCGTTTAAATACTTAAATGAACATTTGCTTGTTATTGAAAGCTGAATTGATTTGTTTGGTAATTTTTTCTCCAATTAAGTTAAATTACTATTAGAAAAGTGTCATTTTTTTGCGAAATTTTCTACACAAAAATATTTGCAAAATTTTTTTATGAATTTTCCTGCAAAATAATATTTGCAGAATTTTTTTCCGATTTTTCCTGCAAAAATATATTCGCAGAAATTTTTTGCGAATTTATTTGTAAAAAATAATTTATAAATATTTCTTACAAATTTTGCTACAATTTTAATAATCATGGAAATTTTTTTCCATGGTAAAAATTTGCAGAAAATATTGTACGAATTTTATTTTATTTCTTGTAGATTTTCTTGTCAAAATAAATCCGCAAGTAATGTTTACTAAATGGTAGAAAAATTTTGCAGGTAACTTTTCCTACAGATTTTCCTGCAAATTTTAATCCGTAGGAAAAATTAAAAAAAAATTTAAATTTATAAGTTTAATATTTTAAAAAAACTTCAAGTCCCAGATCGATTGAAAATAAAATAATTAAAGAGTATATAATTAAGTTGAGGCGACACTTATTTTACAAGTTGATTTATATGGTTGAGTGTTAGGCTTATAATCTACAATCTTAGAATTTAAAAGATTATGTATCACTTGTTGGAGGCATGGAAACAAATACTTCGGATGAATTCATTGTGAGCATTTGAAAGTTGAAGAATTATTGATAGAATTTATAGTAATTTCTTTAATTTTTTCGTAAAGAATATTCCTGCAAAATTTCTCGCGAAAAAATTAACAGGAAAGTTTCTTGCGAATTTTTTTTTGCAGGAAACGTTCCTGCGAATTTTTTTCGCAAAAAATTTTACAGGAAAATTTCCTGCGAATTTTAAAATTCACAAAAATATATTATGCATGAAGGTATTATATGCAGATAAAATTTCACAGAAAAATTTGTAGGAACAACATTTTCTACGCAGAAAAAGTCGTATATAATAAAAGAAATTCTAATAGTGAATGATATTTTTTTTAATGCAAGTCTCAACTAAAGCAGCAAGATGTTATTTTTTTTTTATTAACATGAACATGAATTATGTATACAATATATTATTTTACCAAATATATATAATTTTTCGATATATAAGAGATTAATATCTATTAAATTCAAGTTATGATATATATTTAACAACTTGAAATTATTTTTTATTTTTTTACTGATATTGTTTATTTTATTATTCGTTCTTTTGGACCTTGTGTTATTCGGTTGTTATGAAAGTATTTTAATATTTAATATTAATTTAATTTATAATATTATAGCCATTTTTAGCAATAATATATTAATAATTCAAATATAACTAATAAATAAATAATATTCATATTTTATTATAAAATTTAAACAGATTTTAGTAATTACACATTTAAAAGTACTTTTAACTACTATTATCCTAATAAATTTCTATTTTAATTAAAATACTTTAAAATAAAGATATTCAAACATAAATTAAGTTAAATTATACTCACGTTTAATTAAAGTTAAATTTTGAAAAATATTCTAAACTGGTTTCGTTTAAGAAAATTATTCTTCTAGGTTATATATATATAGAGAATATTCACTTGATACAGTTAAGAAAGTAGTACTAATTAGTATTAAATAATTTTTTTAAAATATCAGTTTCTTTTATCACCTTTTTTATATATATTTTTTCTTTGGGAAAGGATGAATGGCTTTAGGGTGAGGGGAAACTCTCCATTCTTAAGAGTTTTTATCTATTTTTTTATTAATTAAAATTATAATGATGATAAAATGACTTGAATTGAAGATTTTATATATGGTGATTCAGGGTTTTCATCTGTTTAACACAATCGGAAGTGGGCTTTATAGAACTATATATAAGCCTGTAATAAATGCACATTTTGAATAGATCAGTCCCCTTAAGATAAACCTTGTGGCCATGAACAAACAATTCAAAACACACACATAACTAAGCTAATGAAACCCGGAAAAGTAGAACCTTCGGTTCATGATATATATACAATAGAAAACTTTGGATAAACGCATATTAGTTATTTTTTTTTTTAATGTTAGAATTTTTATTTATTTAGGTTATTATTATTTGCTGTAATTTTTTTTTATAAAAATAGGTTGAATGTTATGTAATATATATTTCTCTGTAAGTTTATTTTATCATGTGATTTATTTTGGATTTGAGAATCACTAAATATACTTAATTATTGGATCAAGTCCAATACGTAAATATGTTAATTTTTTTTTAACAGCAAATAAAGTAAAATATATATAATATTGGTACAAGGGATACCATATCCTATGTACAAGATTTTGTGGCTATTAAGAATAGTATACTTTAGCCTCTGCAAATTTCCAAATCAAATTAACTATACCCACATTAGTCTAGGTAATTTACTAATCTTTAACCCTAAGTATATAACATAATTGGAGTACGTCAGGCAAACTTACGGTCTAATTGATTTAATATCTGGTGATGAATGGACAAATTTGAAAAGAAGGAATCTTACTAAATTCTTATAAATTCTGTGACAAGTGAGTATGTGATCACATTGTGATAATAAGATATCTACAAGAAATTTATAACAATTGATAAACATCATTATAGTATTGATCCGATATATAATCTATCAAGTTGTATCAAAACCTTGTTAGGCACTAAAAAATGTATTTTTTTTACATTGATAAAATATTATATATTTTCAACTTAAGCCTTCGTGATAAAAAGAAAATTAAAAAAATCTAGCTATAAAGTAGAAAAGCTTAATTCCGGTTGCATCCATGAATTGCATGTTCTGTTCTAACAAATTATCAAACACCTGACACTCAAAACAACAAAATAAATGTTTAGCGAAGAAAATAGAAAGAATGCTTCTTGGTCTTGTTCACCTTCCTCTCGTTTTGGTGTGTACCAAATAGATCATCAAAAACTTTTCTATAGGAAAGGCAAAACTCATTTATAAAATCAAGAAACGTATCTGTCTCTTTCATTAAAAACATGCAACTACATAAAATCAAAATATGAATATACCAATACATGAGTCACTAAATCATATCCATATGCCTATGTTATATTCCGACATATGTGTCTCTTTTTTCTTTTCTAGGGAGATATTTATGCTATGATGTAAGTACATAACTCCTTATAAATGAAAAATCGGAAAAAGATGTATTCGAATATTTTTGTTCCCCAACTTTGTCCGAGAGTGATTAAGGAATTGGTATAACGAACATTTAACCTTTGAAATTTTAGAAGTCAATCATGGCCTACTCTAAAACAAATCATGACTATATATTAAATATATTCTTATTGACTCGTATTTGACTTCTAAATTTTCAAGGCTCCTATCAAACACACCATAAAATATTTTGGCTTAATCTTAAAACATTTTTTACTTTTTTTCACCTTGTATACAGAAACATCTTTGGTTTTCTACACAAAGCTATCAATTTATCAAAAATGTTTCTAAGAGCATCAAAAAAAATATTTCAATATGTTTTATATTTGTTTTATTTCTTTCCAACTTACTTATTTTAAAGCGAAAAAGTGAGCACAAAGAGAGTATAATGTATTTCTTGATTTAAAATTATAACTATAATTTATTATAAAAAATTATGAAAATATATTTATTTCCTTATTTTACTTAGTTTCATTATATTAAACATGGAAAAATCACATTTAATGAACTATGAAAAACTCCAAATTTATTATATGTGCCGTATCCCACAAACCTAGATTAAAACCGAGTATTATCAATCATGGAAATGGAGTTAATTAGAACCAAGTTAGTGCCGATTAAATATAACAGGAAGAGGTGAAGAATTTGAGTTATATATTTCCATCAGTTTCTAAGTTTAAATTTACTCAAAATAAAATATCAAGTATTAAATATGTAAAATATACAAAACTAAATGAAAGATAAAAGAATAATTTCTTCCATAATAAAAAAGAGAATATTTTGAAGCCTTCTTACAACATTTATTTCTTGATGATCATATACCCTACTACCTTACTAAACATAAAAGAATGTTCAACATATTATTTTTATTTAATCCTTTGTATAATTAAATATAAAAAGATTTATAGAATATTTCACATCTTCCAAAGTGCTCATTTCTAGCATCATAAAACATCATGAACTTCACTCAATTCGACTCATTTAAACTCTTTAACTTCAATTTTTACATCATTAAACTCAACTCAATAAAATTCAGCTTAATCATTATTATTTCTAATATTGATCTTACCCGATCAAATGAGGAAAATTTAGCTTAGCTTTCGAGCCGCGCATTTCAAAAGCGGCTCGATCATAAGCCAAAGCAGCATCTTCAGCTGAGTCATAAGTCCCAAGCCACACCCTTGCCCCATTCCTCTTTGGGTCCCTTATTTCAGCTGCAAACTTACCCCAAGGCCTACGCCTCACTCCCTTGTAATTTTGATAAGGCGCGTGTCCCCCACGCGCCGAAGACGAAGCCCCACGCGCCGCTGTGGCAACCGTTGCCTCCTGTTCGGAAAAAACTGACGGGGAATTAACGGCATTGGCGTGAAGGGTGGACGTTGACTCACCATCACTCTCCCTTGGGTAAACGCCGTTAGGTGATGCAATAACCGCCGTTAGAGCGTTGAAGTCTCCGTTATCGTCGAGGAGGTAGCGTTGAATTGATTCTAGAAGAGCGTAATCGGATTCAAGATTGGTGTTGAAATTCATTTGGCTTTTGAAGTGAAGATCTTTGTGTGTGTTTTTTTTGGGTGTGTTTGTGGGTGATGCGAAGTGTAGTGTTGTTGTAATGTATGAGTATTTATATGTGTAGGGACATGTTGAAAAGTGGTTGGTTTTTGTGCCGTTCGTTGTTGGGCCATTTCGTTGAAGCATCCTTGGTTTTTTGAAGCATGTGCCCAAATGGGTTTTGGGACATTGTTAAATGAATCGAAGTTTTAAAATCACGTGTTGTGATATTTGGATAATATCTTTTGTGTTAAAATAATTACAAGGAGTGGGTAATGCACTTTTTCTTTGGTTTGGTTCGTCACGCGCTTACGTACACTAGATTTCAAATGAATTATCACGCATTCACACATATAGGTAAACCACAAGTGTAAAAATGTACTTGTATTAACAAAAATACAGCTTTAGAATGTTCGATTGATGATGAAGTAGGACTAATCTAAAGACCAAAGGAGAAAGGGATTTGAAACCACCTACAAACATTTCAATGCTCAAGGTAACTATGTATTTTTACAGAGTAATAATAAGGTAAGTAAAGAGTGTGTAATGCCTCAAAGTGATACCATTTATACAAAGATATGGTAGACATAAAATGTGATGAGTTCAGTTAGATCTTGAAGCTTGTTAAAATATTTTATACATAAGACATGATGAAGTCAAATTTGGTATGAATCACGTGAATTGGTAGATTTTAAGTGTTTTGAATGGTGCTTCAAAAAAGGTCTCAATGCCCATGATGTATAGACATTAAACAAGAAAATTCTCAAAAACGAAAGATGATGATCGAAAAATAATATTTTGGCTAAATTATCTAACTTAAAGTTATTTATCCATAACAATAGTCAATAGCCTTCAAGTCAGTTTAAAAAAAAAAAAAAACAGCCTTATACAATTTGTTAGTTTTAGCCTTACTTCGAAAAATAAAATAGATTATATAATTTTAGTTTTATATTTTTAAATAATAAAAAATAATTACTCTTATAAATACAAGATTCAAACTTAAAATTTTAAAATTATACAAGATTTAAATTTGAGACCTTAAAATTTTAAGATAAGTATAATACTAATTAATCTAACAAATATTATTAATTTCTAAATAATTTTATCAAATAAAATATAAAAATATAAAGCACCCCATGTCACTCGTAATTATCAGGAATGATAAATTATATTTTTCAACAAAAAAAATATTAATTAAAAATTTTAATCAATAATTTTTATTAATAAGAATATTTTCAGTGAGAATTGCTTTTACGCACATTGTATACCCCTCAAATAAATAGATGTGTAGTCTTAAAAATTATAAACAGTAGTGAACTGTTTGGTATCTTGGTCAACTACGTACGGCTCCTTATCCTGAAGACACAAAAATCTTAATTTTTGCATATTGATATGTTTTGAAGACACGTGTATATGGAGTAGGATAAAATTAAACACAAGATAAATAACTCAAATCCTTCAACTAAATTATGTTATGTCCAAACAATATTTGTTTTTAATTACATGAAATAATACATGTGAGGTACTAACACTTTTTCACCTAATTATTTTTTTATTATTTCCATTCCTATTCATATATCATAACCTTTTGCTTCATGATCGGTGAAAATGATTACTTGCCTTCATCTATACATGTACGCGTGCTTTGGGACAGCTAATATGTAACTTAACTGCCTTTTCCCCTTCGTTTTCATATGATGAATTTATATTTCGTTTTCTTATGATGAATTTATATTTGTGTAGTTGTTTAAGAGTATACTAGTAATTTTCTTAGAGCATATTTTGGTGTGGGGAGATACTTATAAAAGATATTCTAATATTCAAGTCGAGATAAATATGAATATCAATAGTAATAAATAAATAATAACTTTACCTTGAGATGTGAATTATTTATACTAACATTAATGAGTCTGGTCCTCAATGGACCCTGTACTACGATTACCAAATTAAGTAATACCTCATTAATCAACTTACACATATGATTAACCCTTAATCACTACTTAGGAATGATAAACTAATTTACAAATTACCTTCATTGAAGTCTCATTTCTAGTTGGTTGAACAAAGTGTGTAAGTATTGTAAACTTTCTAACCGTTTAATTTTCATGAATAAAAAGAAAATCACTACTTTTTAATTTTATGTGTTTCTATGGGCTCGCACCAACCATCATCAGAACAGGTGACCACCTTCTACTTTGAAAAGTTTCCAAATGGCTAAAAAGAAGTGAACATGTGGAGAATGTTTCAATGATGGGGTAAAGTCTGGGAGGTTTTTATTGCAAACAGGAGGAACAGATCGGGACATAGATACGGCTTTGTGAGGTTTATAACCAACATTCAAAATGCTAGGTGTGTGGAGGAAGAGTTAGATAAGATTTGGTTTGGCAATGTCAAGATGAACGTCAACATACCAAGACACAAGCGGGGGGTATGGAAAGGCCAAGAAAGAAGATAGACGAGGGAGGCTGGTAGACGGAAGGAAGAAGGCCCTGATATAAAGACAACAACCCCAATAATAGGAGGTAGGTCCTATGCTCAAGTCCTCCAACAAGGTCCGAGGGGTCTGCAGGCAGTATGGAGAGAAAAGAAGGAGGAATAGAGACAAAAACAAGCAGGAGAAGGTGGGTGGAACGGGCCAGCCTTTACGATAAAAGAAGAAAACACCAGTTGGCTTAACAAATGTTGGGTGGGAAGGCTAGAGGACGTGACTCTATTTGATAGACTACAGGAAACTAAAATCTTTGACAAAAAAAGGGATATAAGGTTAAGATATATGGGAGATGACATGGTGCTGATATCTGGGGTAGAGGATGAAGATCTCAGAGAACCTCACTCAGAAGCTATTCGCGGTATGTGGTCATTTTTTCATTCCATACACAGAGGGACCCCCGAGTTCGGTGCTTGGAAATAGATTAATTTGGGTAAGGTGTAGTGGCATTCCTATACACCTTTGGAGTCAAGATTGCTTCGTAAAAGTAACTAGTGTTTTTGGGACTCTTATTTTGTTGGACGATGACACCTTGAGTTTCAGTAAACTGGATTATGCCAGATTATTGATCAAAACTTCCTCTATATTTCCAATCCAACATTTCAGTCAGATTAAAATTAACGGGGTGATAATACAAATAAGAGTTATAGAGGAGGTGACAACAAACACTAGCCAGTGTAAGTGTGAGCTTTGGAGAAATGATGGTATAACCTTATCGTCGGCTGCAAGTGAATTGACTGTTAATCTATGCTCGTCGTCCTCCGAATGCTCAAAAAAGAACACATGGTCGAAGGGGGAAGGTGTAGCCATGGCAGAGAACAATCATAGCTGGAAGGAAGATGAAATATCTAACTTTTAACCAAAGGTCTTGGACCAACAGCTTACCTATGATAGAGAAGGCAGACCAGTCTATAGTCACATCGGTAGAAGTAAAAGTACGGAGGGTCGCATTTTGGTGAAACTAGGTGAGGAGGAAGACACAAGGATTGGTTTAGAGGAAGCCGTGCAGGAAGAGGTGCATGAAATAGGAAACCTAAAGAGTGGGATGGAAGTCACTAGCTACAGAGTTAACAATACCGAGGTTGATACGAATCTTCATGGGGCCAATATAATTGCTTCAAGTGCAACAAAAGGCAATAAGCTAGTCACCTCTGTTCTTCTTATTAACTCACAACAAGTGAATGGGCCTAACCCGGTCGGCCCAATTCGTAACATAGAGATGGGGCCTCACCCAATTGCAAATCTGGCCAAAAAGGAGATTAGAGGTAACCAAGGCCCACAACCTATCAGTAAATAATATAAGGTCACAGAGCAATCTAACAGTGATCAATTACAAGTGAGACAAGTACATGAGGTGAGCAGAGAAGGGAGTCATTTGAGTATGACAAAGGAGATCGGTGAATCTATTTCAAGAGTGGGATGCTCCCTTGATTCGGATAAGGGGAGTGCGTGGCAAATGAATAACCAAGAACATCCAAGATCAAAAACCAACAGTAGCTATAAGGGGAAGCAGCCAACGGCAAAGATGAGGGAGGAACAAGTTACAAAGGAGGAAACATCTACAGAGGTGGGAGTTGCCATTGTGCCTACAACAAATGTCAACCCTGTACAAACAATTGTCGCCACAAGGAGAAAACAGGTACGACTAGCTCTTCATTCATTCAGCAATTCTCTCTCCGATTGTGAGATTAGAAATTATAATAGAATTTTCTGGCTGAACAAAGATGTATCAGAAGCAAAGAAAATTTGGGAAATAGGAAGAGTTATGGGTCTTGCCTACAATGGGGAGGAGAATAAAGCAATTCAGAGGTTGAAAGAACTAGAGGAGAGGGACCAACAAGAAAGATGGAAAACGGGTAATCAAAACCCAGAGGGGAATTTTACGGGTAATAAATAAAATTCATTTCCTTTAATGTGAGGGGTCTAGGAAGGAAGGTGAAGTGGTGTACTATTCGCAAAATGATTAGCGAACAACAGGTGGATATCTTGTGTCTACAGGAAACAAAAAAGACAGAAATATCTGACAAGTTTTGTGAATGGTTGTGGGGTGACGGAGGAGAAGGGGATATGGGGTGGAAAATGACCCATGCAGTTAATACAGCTGGGGGATTGCTATGTTTATGGAGTAAGGCAAAACTAGAAGTCACGGATCACTTTCAAGGCTCAGGTTTCTTAGGATTGGTGGGAGTTTAGAAAGAAAAGGGGATTCAAATAGTAATCATCAACATATATGCACCATGTGAATCCCCTCAAAAGAGACAATTATGGGGAAATCTAAAAGAAAAAAGAGAAAGAAGTAATATAAAATGGTGGTGCTTGATGGGGGATTTTAATAGTGTAAGGAAGACTACAGAGAGAATGGGAGTCAACGGTGGGAATGATGGTGTAGTAGATATTAGAGATTTCAACAATTTCATCTCATATCTGGACATTATAGAGGCTCCATTGATTGGTAGATCATTTACGTGGTACATGCCAAATAGGAGAGCAAAAAGCAGGATTGACAGGATTTTGGTTTCTAGAGACTGGTTTGATCAATAGCCAGGGAGTATACAACTGGTTCTAAATAGAAATATCTCAGATCACTGTCCAATTTTGTTAAAGAAAGTGAAGGTGGATTGGGGACCCAAACCATTCAGATTCTTAGACTATTGGTTGAGTGATAAAGACTTCTGACCCTTGGTGGAAAAAAAACATGGGTAAGGATGAATGTACAGGGGTGGGGGGCATTTGTGGTTAAAGAGAAACTCAAACAACTCAAAATCACATTGAGAGAATGGCATATACAGAAGTCAAATGACCTACAGACTCAACACAACGCTATTTCAGGGAAAATGAATGACTTGGTTAAAAAAGAAGAAGCAGTTGGATTAACATCGAAGGAAAATCTATTGAAGAGGGAGCTGCAACAAAAATTCTAGGAAGTGGCCACACGAAATGAGTCAATATTAGCACAAAAATCCAGAGTTTCTTGGTTAAAACTAGGGGATAGGAACTCAAAATTTTTCCATGGGATGGTAAATTGGAGACGGAAGAAAAATTCATTAAATGGCTTATTTGTCGATGGTAGGTGGATAGACGATCCAAAACATGTTAAGCTTCAAGCGAAGGAATTCTTTCGCAACAGATTTATGGAACAACATTGGGAGAGGCCACTTCTAGACGGTGTTCAGTTCAAACAAATTTCAGACAGGGCGAAGTGTCAATTAACAGTGGCTATAGGTACAGAGGAAATAAAAATGGCAATTTGGGATTGTGGTAGCTCAAAGAGCCCAGACCCAGATGGATTTAATTTCAAGTTTATCAAATCTTTCTGGGAAACTTTGAAGGGGGATATTGTGAGAATGGTGAAAGAATTTCATGCAAATGTAAATTACCAAAAGGCAAAACTCAACATTTATCACGTTAATCCCTAAGGTTGATGATCCCCAATCTTTAGGTGATTATAGGCCTATTTCACTGGTTGGTTGCCTGTACAAGATTCTAGCCAAGATTTTGACTAATAGATTGAAGAAAGTACTACCATCAGTAATCGATGATAGACAAAGTGCATTCCTAGAAGGAAGGAATTTACTACAGAGTGTGGCGATTGCAAATGAGACCCTGGATGAAGTCAAAAAGGAAAAGAAAAGTTGCATATTCTTTAAAGTGGACTATGAGAAGGCCTATGACTCAGTAAATTGGGAGTTCCTCTTATATATGCTAAAAAGGTTGGGTTTTGATGGCAAATGGATTCAATGGATACAAGTATGCTTAGAGTCAGCCCATGTTTTGGTGTTAATTAATGGCAGTCCCTATAAGGAATTTGGAATGAATAGGGGACTCAGGCAGGGGGATCCCTTGTCGCCATTTCTCTTCACTATTGTGGTTGAAGGTCTAACTGGAATGATGAGGGAAGCTTGTAGAAAGAATCTGTTCTCAGGAGTGAAGGTTGGAGAGAAGAAGGTTGAAGTATCTATTTTACAATATGCAGATGACACAATTTTTATAGGAGAAGCAACAATCAAAAATGTCATCACTATGAAGAGTATTCTAAGGTGCTTTGAATTGGTGGCTGGGCTGAAAGTGAACTTTTTCAAAAGTAGTTTTGGGGGTATAGGTGTTGAGAGGAATATGATAGATGGATTTGCACACCTACTAAATTGTAGAGTGACCTAACTACCTTTCAATTATTTGGGCATTCCATTAAGAGTAGACCCTAGGAGAACAGAGACATGGAGGCCTATACTTAATAAGTAAAACAAGAAGCTAGCTAAATGGAAACATAAATCTCTATCCATGGCAGGGAGAGTATGCTTAATCAACTCTGTCCTAACATCTTTGCCACTCTTCTATTTCTCTTTTTTCAAAGTCCCAAAGAGTGTGGTAAAGCAAATTGTCTCTATTTAGAGGAGGTTCCTATGGGGTTACTTAGACGACGGAAGGAAGATAGCTTGGGTGAGATGGGAAGAAGTTACAAGGCCAAAAGAGGAGGGAGGGCTTGGAATAAAAAATATGCAACCTTTAATGTAGCCCTTCTGGCAAAGTGGAGGTGGAATCTTTTTCACAAACCTGACTCAATGTGGGCACAAGTGTTGTTATCAAAGTATGGTGCTGACCCGCCTAACCTGTGCACAGGTTACGACAATGCTAAGGCTTCAATTTGGTGGAGGAATATCACTACAAGAAAAATGACTTATGCCTACACACAAAAAATGTCACTAAAAAACTAAATTCCATAGGTAAAGGTATCATGGACTTTGACCTACGGACATTGAAGTTGTCAACTTTGAGGGGGCATATAGGGACAACTAATAGCCTATCACTATAAGTTTTACCTACAGACATAATTTTACCAACAATTACATTTGACTTTCACTATAGGAGATACCTACAATTTGCAATATGCATGGGTAAAATTCATTGACTTATATTTACACCCCCTACTATAGATAAGCACCATTAAGTTGTACTTACATGTTATGACCGTAGGTAAAAGTCATTAACTTATTCTTACATGCTCTGACTATAGGTAAAAGTATTTATTATTATTATTATTGTACCTATATATATATATATACTATTCTTACATGCTCTGACTATAGGTAAAAGTATTATTATTATTATTATTATTGTACCTATATATATATATATACATACATACATACATACATATATGTATATATCTCTTATAGAGAATATGTGTACTCTATACGAAGTGTAGTTCAAATTTCATTAATTGATATATTGATATATCTAATTTAATATTTTGTTCTTGCTAAATTTCATTAAATAATAAAACTATATATACAATATATTATAATATTCACCCTTCCCTAAGCTCAACCAGACCATTGAAAACAACATATTCTGTTTCCACACAAGAATACAAGTGCCACAGCTAGAGAGAGGGGCCACCACCACAACCCAATCCACACAAAAACTGAGATTCCAGGGTGGGCCAAAACTAATGCAACAACATCATATCATAAATTATTCATCATAATCAACGAAATACATTAATCTTTTTCCCATTATTTTTTTGTCATACGTTTAATCTATGAATCATTTTATAAGCTCCCCATTGTTTAAAGGAGGTATTAGTCATGTTTTTTGGAAGAAAAAAAAAAGAGGAAAAGATAAGTAGATTCCATGTCATTGTCAACAACCAGTAATTGTTATCATACTATTCTAAACATCATGTTTGTATTATATTTCAAGTATCATTGTTCATAGAGCTAGAAATATAAGTATCCAAACTATGCTATAAAAATGGCAAATTCATGATATTAAAGTTGCTAATTAGAAATAAAAAAAGGAAAACATATTGTATTGATAAATGTCATCCTGTAAGTATTGCCATCTATGATGATCTACTGCATGTAAATCCTTCACCAATCCTAAAAAAAAATAAATATGAAAGATGTCAATTTTACAACGTTATGATAATTATCACCATCATGAAGTATCAAAAATTTAATTATTTGAATTTCAATTAACTCACCTATATCAACTTTTCTCATTTGGGGTCTCTTGCAGTTTGATGATTTTCACTGATAGAATCATTTGAAACATTTGTAGGTACCTAAATGAGAAAAAAAAAGATTTTTTAATTTATAAAAAATTATATCATTTGAGTTATTAAATAAATTGCATTATAAAAATTCATACCTCTTCAGCTACAGCTTGTAAAACTTGATTAATCTGTGGATCATCTACAAACCGTGATTGAAGGACACAACAAGATTTCCAAGCAAACTCTCTAATTTTTGAATCCTATTGTCTATGGTAGAGCTTTGGTATGAACTTGCATGTCGTGGAAGCTTTCCAAGACAACGCACTCGTCCTCTTTTTTCAGGTCCTTTAACTTTTGAGTATATATCATTTTTCCAATTGGTAGTATCTTGAGTGGTTTGTGAACTTTCTGCCTCAATCATATGCTTCTTCAACTCATCCTACATAAGAAAAACAAGTATAAGTATAAAGTCAAACAAAACAAGTATATTTACAAGTCTTCCACAGTTTTTGGCTATTGATTCGGGAATATGGGTAGTGTTGTGCTAACATAAGAATCAACTATTAATATTAGCCTATTCTAAAAATAGAAAAATAAATCATAATATAATCAAAGCAAATTAAATTTAAACATTTGAAACATAAATAACTGATTTCTAACAAAACTAATTTATCATTTTTTTAAACTAAAGATATTTAAGCATATTCTCAACATTATTCTAAGTCCAACTATTTTTCAGTGGAGGTTTATACCGTGTTGCAACATTCACACTTTGTAAACACTCAATTTTTGGGTTTTTGTAGATTTATAAGGATGCAGACATCAACATTATTTTTACAGAAATATATTGTGATAAAATTGTAAGAAATTTATAAATACCAGAGCTTGGAGCTTATATACATGTAAAGTTTCACAACATAATTTACGGATTTCCCTATGAACTCAGGCTCTAAAATTATCGAGTTACATGAAATGAAACCTTATCGTTTTCTCAAGAATGAGTCACTATTTGTTTACCATAGTTGATTAAAAAATTAAAACATGTTTTATTTACTTTTTGAATCACATATGGTTTTTAGTCTTGATAAGATTTTGTGAAAGAATAGTTAGTTTCTAGGTCCTACATAACTTATAGTTTCCTTAACAATTGTTTTTTTGTGGCTTCTAGGTGTGAGGCTTTTCCAACATACCCTAGAACCTATGACTTGGTGCATGCAGCAAGACTTCTATCGCTTGAAACTGAGCAGCGTAGATGCACCATACTTGACCTGTTCATTGAAATTGACAGGATTGCCCAGAGGTTTGTGAATTTAACATTATTGAACCATAACTGCTATTGTATTTGCTCATTAAACAGTGCAGTAATATCTTATGCAGTTTGATCTATAAAATGTGTATGAATTATTCATCCTTCTATTTTCTGCTGAAATTGGTCATACGTGCAGGGTTGGGTTATAATCCGCGATACGCTTCCCTTGATAGAGTCAGTTAGAGCTCTAACAGCACAACCAATTTACCAAATTGAAAGTGGGATATGCAAGAGTGATAGAAATTGAAAGTGACAGTGAATAGAGACTCTTGGCTATTTATAAGTATAATCTCAGTATAAATAAAGACTTGATGTGGTTACATCTATAATCTCCTTAGAAGTTGATTTTTTAAAATCCAATCTTTAAAATTTGATACAACCAATTTTCATATTTTATAGTACTTGCCAAAATTTATATAATTCAAGTACAAGACTTTTAGACAAAGCTAGTGATCAACTATAATAAATTGTCATGAAAATGGTGGTCAAATAAACATGCCACTGAACTCTTAGTAGTAAACACAAAAGCAATATACCAAATAAAATTCTTACAATTACAGTAGCAGCTTTTTCTCTAACAATGCTTCCATTTTGTCGGGTTTGAGTGTTTATATAAATTTGTGCTCGAGAAGGTTGCACTCCTTTAGCCTTTTTTGTTTAACATTAGTCACAAAAATATCAACCATTATATTTCTAGCTGCTAATTTTTAAAAGATGAAAAGAAATATTATCAAAAGAGACAAACCATCTCATGAACTAGTCTCGGAAGATTTTTAGTTCCCATGCAGTGTAAGTCTTCATACTTCGAGCGCTCCTTTTGTTGATGTCACTTATTTTCTATAACCAATAAATATAAAAGGTCAATAATAAAAATCAGCATATGACATATAAGTATTATATTAACTATAACTTAATAAGATATACCCGCCCTTTCTCAGAACACCAATAATGTAGCAAATCACGATATTGAGAAGGATCAACCCTTGAATCAGGAATATGAGAAAACATTTCCTCCTCAGTTTGACTCTCATCATATCCTTTTGATTTCAAATCATACTTAAATTGCCTCCACTTCATACTCATGTTATCCTTTAGTACTTCCTTTGCTTGTTCAGTCAATTCAGGAACAAATTGAAATTTACTCTACGTATCATTAACAAAAAAACATGTTAGACTTATTACATACATAACTTTTACAAAAAATAAAAGGAAATAGAAGTTATAAATTTTATACTAGACCTGAATCAATTCAAGCATATTAACAATATAGTCCTCAGGCATGTCCTTCCAGCTAAGATAATTGATAGGAGCACATTGATGTCTCCTTACCAAGCTCCCTATTGCATTTAATAAAGTTTTCCCTTCCCAACCCATGGGATTACCCAAAGGATCTACTTCAACAAGTATGAATTCTCCATCTGGCATGTCCCACACATCTAACATATGTGTATAACCTCTAGTCTTCTTTTCACCTAAATCAACACAAATATATGGCATATTATCCAATATATGTCAAGAAAAATGTATATACTTGCATTGTTAAAAAGGCTAAAAGTTATACTTACCTTTACTTGAACTTTCACTTGCACTCTCAAAAGATGTATGAGTCTCAATGTCATTTCTTCTTGTATTTGTTGTTCTAAATACAATCAATGATTAAAATTTTTATACCTCCAAATTGTGTATTTTCTTCAATAATAGGGTGATTATTTCGTGTAGTATTCAACTTTCTACGCTTCCCCATAGTACTTGTTACAAATCAAAATGCCTATGACTAGAAAATGCGAGATGACAACACTGTTAATTAGTTAAAATAAAAGTAGATATACTCTATAAATTGTTCAATACAAGTAAGTTTGGAAGATAGACTGATGGAAGAGAAAACAGGAAAGGAAAAACAACGTATAAAAAAAAAGAATAAGAGAGATATAAAAAAGCTGCTACATGGGTTGCTGAAAATTGCCAGATGGTCGTATATTGCTCACTGGAGGGCCGGACAGGGGTCACTGGAGACGAACAATTATCAGACATTCACGGCACACATGCATCTTAAAAAGTAGAGAACAAATGAGAAAATATGGTGGCAGGACAATTTTAAATTACAGAAATAGAGATTGTCACTAGATATGCAAATCAGCAGCTTCCTTGGTGTACAGTAACTATCTGTATAATGTGCAAAAAGGATAACAATATAAATGGCTGATTGATTTACCAGATTGTTCTAGGATGACCCAATTCCTTATTATTAGTAGAGGCTTTTTATTAATTCAGAATTTAGACTCAAACAATAGAAATCATTTACTGAAAACAAACCAGAAGGAACAAACTCATAACCTCTCCATGTTTCAAGTCCGAGAGATATGCAAAGCAAGGAAAGACAGCAAGGTTATGTCAAACCTTGTGACTGAAAACACAGGTAAAAGGCTTAATCCTAATATTTTGTGAGTGTACATATATGTGTTGTAAAAGGTCTACTCTTACAAAGAAGCATTGTGAAAATATATCGATACATATATTAATCTCCAATCAGCTGAGACCACTTCCTAGCATAGAAACTTCTACATAGTAATTACTTAGTAGTTAGTTTCAATCAAGATGATGCAACAACCACCAACTTTAAACATAAAAAAAGACAAATACCTATCTGCATCAAGATTTTCATGAAATAAACAGTTACACAAAAATGATGTAACCACTAAAAAAAAATCATTAATATAAGTTGACAACAATACATTGTTAGATAAGACAAAACTGAGCAAACAACAAAAGATTGTTCCAGATTCCAGGGCAAATGAGAGAGATCAAGGGTTAACGAAAGTAAGGAAGATGTTGAAGTTAACAAAAAAACTGAAGGTGCAATTCCATGTAGTAGTGATACTTGAAGTCTTATTTGGCATGACAATTGAAAGATTTGCAAAAGCAAACAATTGCATACAAAACAATTTGCAAAAAAATTTAAAAGAAGTTTTCTTCACTTTCATCTTCTACATTATTGTCATCCTCTATATTTTGGCAAACATTCTCCATGGCTCTTGTAAATTCAATGATATCATCATCATCATCAACTTCTGGTTTAATCAAATCATTATCATTTATCTGAATCAAACCATCCTCGTGCCATGTCATAAAAGAAGCTATTTTTGATGATAGAAAAAGTCTTTGGAGTCTTGGTATAAGAGGAAACCAACGAAGAATCTTTGCTGGTATCTTTTTTCTACATTCAACATCATCAGAGTTGTCTTTCCATCTTGATAACTTACATTTTGGGCAATTTTCAGCATTAGCCAAATCCCTCCTATACAATATACAATCATTAGGACAAGCATGAATTTTTTCATATGATAGACCCAACCCGGAAATAATCTTCTTTGTATCATAAAATGATTTGGGTAAAGTATTTTCTTCTGGTAAGGCATCACTTAATAACTCTAACAACATTGTAAAACTTTTGTCAGTCCACCCATTTAGCCACTTTAAGTGATACAAGTGAACAATGAATGACAATTTTGTGAATTTTTTACAACCAGGATAAAGTTTTTGCTCTGTCTCCTTTAATAACTGATAAAGTTTATCTGAATTATTACCTTCTTCGGATTGTTGAACATTGGGTTCATTCATGAATTCTCTAGAATCTCCATTCTCCATGTTTACATTTGTATCATCACTTTCATTAATTGCATGCATCTCGAATGCATCGTGAATCAACATATCCATATCATGATCAAACTCCCCTTCTAATTGAGATGTTTCTAGAGAACTAGAAGAGCCAACTTGCTCACCATGAAAGATCCAAGTAACATATCCTTTTAGAAATCCATTACATATTATGTGCTCATAAACATCCATTCGAGAGCGCCACTTGCAATTGACACATTTAGTACAAGGACATAAAATTTTTCCATCCTTGGAAGATTTAGCAAAGGCAAAATCAAGAAAATTTAGAACCCCTCTAATGTACTTCTCTTTATTTAGAGAGTTGTCATGTATCCAACTCTTATCCATTTGATACAATAAACTGGAAAAAAATTGAGTGAAATGGCCTCAATAAACTAGTGATAGAATGACATAAAAAACTCATATATACTATTTTCTCTTGAATTTTTAACAAGCTAAAAAACAATAATAGAATAAAAGTGATATAGATTCGTATATACCTAGTGATCAAGCTGCAATGTAGATTAAGCTGAAAAACTCATATATACCTGGTGATCAAGCTGCAATGTAGATTAATCTTTAAAAGTGAGCCCGGAAGATCTTATTGGCTGAAAACTTTGAAAAATAATATGATGAACAATGTAAGAGATAAGTTATGATATACACTGAGAGCTAGAGAGGTGAGAAGAGTAAATTTTGGAAAAATTAATGCAATAACATCATAAAATAATTATAGAAAAATTACTTTCATTTCCTAGTTGCTTCTTATGTCTATATAGTATAGAAAGAAGTTTATAAATGTAAACTGCACAATCTTAATTCACCTTTACTTCTCCCCTTCTGAACTAAATTGGATTTACCCTTGGACCACTTATTCTGGTGCTCTCCCCTATGATAGTAACTCATCACTAAATTGGATTTAAAGGCATCTATTATCTTTAATATCGTGGCAGTGAATTTCTTCACAACTACAATGCACTTGAATAGGATTTTTCTATGTGTGGATGATAATGTTCCATATCGTGCTTAATGTATGGCATGTTCATTTCACTTGAGTTTTTTTGGGTTGTTGAGGGTCCAAAATTTTGTTCTTGACAGCCTTTATAATCTGGTCTATATTGATGTAAATCTCAATAGTTATTTATTCTAATTCAGTCTTGTACTTGTGAAACATATTCTGTTTAAATATTCTTGTTTGTATAGCTTGACTTCTGATGCTGTAAACTCAATGTATTTGACATGTTTCCATTGATAGCTAATGCATGTTAAAGTTTTCAAGTGTCCTACTATTGTTACTATTCTTTTTTCTAGATATCAGGTCACTCTCATTTGGAAATTGGTATGAATTATGATGATTGTTATTATATATATTCCTAGTCAATGATATCTACGACCTTCCTGTCCCAATGTCAATGACAGACAATGAATCCCTGCTCCAAAAAGGCTTCAAAAATGATGAGAAAGATTATATACAACATTTCATTATTATCGCTATCTGGTATCAACTCCATATTTAACTTGCCTTTATTATACTTTGACTAGTATCCTTTACTCTACACTTGACAGGAAAACATTAGTTGATGTCCTCTTTGGGGTAAATGTATATTGATCACAATATATCTATTTAATTTAAATAAATTAAAATTATAGTTAATGGGAAGTGATTTAAGTTTATAAATATATTGATACATAAACCACCAACTCATGTCGTCTGTCACAACTTTGTTTTGCGCTAACCATAGTACATATACTTCCTATTTGAACTTCAATTTTATTGCCATTAACTATTATTTGATATTTCAATAGTTGGCATTCTCATATCATATTACCAGAACCATTTCACTACTACATATACAGGAAGAAACCTTGTAAGTTCCAGAACTTACAAAATTATGCAATTTCTGTTGAAATTATAAACCATAACAACATTATGTCATTCCTTTTTCTTTTCCTTTCCAAGCAACCATTCTAAGGAGGCAATTACCGAAGCTAACCAAATTAATTTTTTTTAAATTGTTTTAAAATAGTTACTTAGAAGGAATGTATAACAAATTTTCCGGATTATAATAAGGAATAATGTTTTAAACTGTTCTTTTTCAGTAATCCAACCTATTGTGTGGTATTTAAAATGATAAAAATTCAGTCAGTCTTTATTTAAATTTATCATGTTCCAGTTACACATTAAATTGTTGAAAATTAAATATAAAAATATAGAAGTGCTTCACAAGTTATTTTATTAACCACGGTGCTTTGGATTTAGCTATTTCTAGAATACTAGATTTTGTAGATCAATGTTTTAAAAACTAGTTTTAAAAACTTGCAGTAATATTGATACTGAAAAATAGAGAAAACAAAAATCAACCCCACAAGTCAGCCACATGGACCAAGCACAAACTGATAGAGGCAACCAATGCTATGAATAACTATAAAAATTAATCAGATTATCCATTTCTAAAGTTAGAATTCCTCTACAATCAACAACTCAACATCCAGAAATACAAAAAAGTTATTCATTTTAATTTTTTGGTAAATGAGATAAAAACAGAAAAAGATAGAAATACAAAAGGTTATTTAACATAAACAGAGAATCCAATTTCATGTGCATAAACAATGCAATCTGTAATTACTAATTAGGAAGCTTAAAATAAAGCAGAGATAAAACACAGATTAACAAAATATTATTAGTATTAAGATCCAGACAAATATATTAAACAAAATACAATTAAGATTCAGTTTTCAGGACATGGACAAAATTGAAAATCTATAAAAGAAGAATCTAAGAGTATAAATATGATCCTTAAAATGTAATATACAAAGGAAGAATCCAAGAGTGAGAAGATATAAAATACCTATTGACAAACGGATGAACGTTCAAATACGAGATCTGTGAGTGCATTTTTGCCATCTGTGAGCAAAATCAGTACCAATAAATAAATCCTACATTAAACTCAAGAAGAAAAAGAGTACGAGATAAAATCCAAAAGTAAAGCGCAACGAAGTAGAGGACTTGGGATTATATGAACCAAAACCTAGATTAGAAGAAACAAAAGCAAGATAAACCTGTGAATAAACAATATTGAAGAAGTATTTGAAGGTTGTGCGTCAAACTAAGACTCAGAACGGAGAAACGAAACTGAGCGAGGAATGCGTGCTACTATGACATTTTCCCTTCTATGGAATGGGTACTTAGAGAAAGAATGGTGTAAAGTGAATAAGTCATTTTATTCACTTCTATGACATGGCACGAGGATAACTATTATTCGTACACAATTTTTTCTAAAATCATTTTATATTTATAATTATTTTTAAATCACACTTCTATTCTATCATTATTTTCTCTTCCTTTTTATACATTTTATTCTAAAATCATTTTCCCTTCTATTGATTATTTAATTCATATTTTAATTATATAGTTTGTATTGATATTGATTTTCTATGAAATTAATTAGTCTTATATATAATTATTTATTTGTTTTAAATAGACTTTTATCTATATTAAACAACTGTAGGTATAAATCTTGTAAACTTTTTACCTACATGAAGTAGTAGTAGGCATAAGTCTTTAAAGGCTTTTACCTACATTGACAATTTGTTGGTAAAAGAATTTTGAGTTGTATTGGGTTTTGCCTGCACCAAACAAAAGTAGGTATAAATTTTTGAGTTATACCTACATTAAACATTGGTAGGTAAATTTTTTTTCTTAGTTTTACCTACACTAATTCAGGTCTATAAGTAAAAGTGTCTGTAGGCATAGGTTATTTTTTTTGTAGTGTTTTAAAGGCTTTTACCTACATTGACAATTTGTTGGTAGAAGAATTTTGAGTTGTATTGGGTTTTGCCTGCACCAAACAAAAGTAGGTATAAATTTTTGAGTTATACCTACATTAAACATTGGTAGGTAAATTTTTTTTTTTAGTTTTACCTACACTAATTCAGGTCTATAAGTAAAAGTGTCTGTAGGCATAGGTTATATTTTTGTTAGTGTATGCTTAAGGCTTGTGGTGCTGACAGTGAAGACAAATGGTTTGATAATTCAAAGGATTGGAAAATGGGGGAAGGAAAACAAACTATGTTTTGGTTGGATGAGTGGACTGGTCAAGAATGTCTTGTTGTACTGTATCCCAGGTTATTCTTAATTTCCAAACAGAAACATGATACAGTTCACAAAATGGGGCAGTGGGAGGATGACACATGGGTTTGGAAGTTTAGGTGGAGGAGGGAGAGGTTTGTTTGGGAGGAAGATCAGATTTTAACACTGCTTCAGATTTTAAATACCTTCTCTATGAAGAAGTTGAAGGATGACTCTTGGAATTGGAAGCCGGAGCCATCAGGAGAACTCTCAGTAAGTTCTGCTTATAAAACCTTAATGTCACAAACGTCAACTAATGGAAGACAAGAACTATTTGCATGTATGTGGAAACTAGATATACCTCCAAAAGTATTTATGTTTGTTTGGAGATTGTTTACCAATCTCTAGCAACCAAGGAGAACCTTCTTAGGAGGAATATTTTGGTGGAACCCCAACATAGATTATGTGTATTGTGCAACACCGATTTTGAAACTACATCATATTTGTTCTGTACATGTTCTATGGTAGTCACTATATGGAATCAATGGCTTGTATGGTTGAATTTTCCTACTCCTTGGCCTCAACGTATAGAACAACACTTTCTACCTATTCTTGGACTACTGAAATCTACGGTACAGATTGAGCAGTAGAAGGTTGTGTGGTGTGCCACAACTTGGAGCATTTGGAATATGAGGAATCAATGTGTCTTTAAGGAAGGTCAGGTGCATAGAGATAGGCTGATGGAAGACATAGTGTTCGCTTCATGGTCTTGGTTGTCCAGTATGAACGAAAGCTTCAACTATTCCTTCTTACAATGGGTGACTAATCCGGGCCCCTATCTTTTGTCATCATGCCATTAATTCAAGGAAAAGGAGTCAGAAGGGGAAGTGCACTACTTATCACCAAGAAGATTCAATTATCTGATCGGGGTATACATGAGGTACATGAGGAAAACAGGACCAATGTGGAATTAACCAACTCTAATGAGCTGAAGCTGATAATGCTGATATGGGAGGTCATACCACAACAAGTATGAAAACCAATTTGGCAACATAATGATGTCTCGATCATGGACGTGAGGGATGGTTGATTAAATGGGAGGTCAAACCGTGGTACTACGAGATTGTTGCAAGCTAGGGGTGAAATAACTTTCATACAAATTAAGTTGTAAGTTTGGGTTAATTGGTAATTTATACTGGTTCAAATATAAATTACCTATTAACCTCCATTAAGAAGGAAGAGGTAGTTATATAGGTTTGTTAAATATATTGTGTATGGGGTTTATGGTACCCCTTGTACCTAATTAATATAATTATCTTTGCTGTCCAAAAGAAAAACCTTCATTGAATCCTCTCAACTGATGAGGATGTCGATTGAACGTCGGTCACCAAAGATGCCAAGGAATGTTGACTGATATGTTGGTCCCTACGGTTAGAATCTAGAAGGGGGGGTTGAATAGATTCTATGTTATTTTTCCTTTTCTTCTTTGCTTTCTAAATCTTTACCAAACAAATCTTGATTTAAAACAAACCTTTAAACATAAAAGGTAATTCAGAGTTATATATGCACAGCTTATCCAACAAGATTTGAATAACAAGATATGTAAAGATTGAATTTATCAATTACCAAGAATCTTTAAAGTTCAGTTTCTGCAGATAATGTTTTTCTTCATACAACATTAATCAAGAAACTTATACAGAATGTAAAGAGTGTAAGAGTTAAGAAAATCATGCACCAAGATATATACTGGTTCAGCCATCCAAAGGCCTACATCCAGTTTCAGATTTAGATACACCTCTAAATCCAGTCAAATCCACTATTGATATTCTTTACATGCACCCTGCACAAGCAATATCCAATCAATGAATTTAACAAGCAAATCTTGACACCCACAAGATTAACAAACCATTTCTTGACTCCACAAGAAACATATAACCCAAGAATATTGATCCCACAATATCCTACTTGAGAAAAACCTATCTCAAGATTTCTCTTTACACAACTCTTCCAGAGATTCTCTAATCTCAAGAGTTAAAACCATTCAAACAATAAAAGATCAGAAACGAGTACACCTGTTCGTGTAGATATGATCTTCAACAACGTAAACCAGTTTAGAATGAATTTTCTATATGAACTTCATCTTCTTGAATTGATCTTGCACACTTCTTTTTCCAAAAGTTGATTTTCAGCAGATATGTTCTTTCTTTCTTTTTCAGAAAATCTTTTTCTCTTTTGCAGTAATGTGTATTCAAAAAAAACTTCTTTCCGTGTGTGAAAATTCTCTTTTTTCTCTTCTTTTTTCTTGTTAAAAAAACTTCAGTTTTAATCTTATTTAAAGACAATTTTCATGTGCAAGGAAACAGTTATTTCAGTTATATTCATAACAGAGATAATCTATTACCTGTGATGGTAATCTATTACCACGAGTTAGAATAACTGAACTAATTATTTCAGCTCCTGTTTTAATCTATTACCTAACATGGTAACCGATTAACACGATGCCAAAATAACACAAAACTCACATTTGGAACAGAGGTAATCGATTACTTTAAAGAGATAATCGATTAACACGATCCTTTTTCCTCTTGAAATCATCAGAATCAGTTTGGTAATCTATTACCACACATGGTAATCGATTATTCCAGTATCAATCAGTTTTTCAACATGAGTCAGGTAATCTATTACCAGTTCAGGTAATCTATTCCTTAACTCAGAAAATTTCTGATGTTTTCAAGTTTTCATTTAAAGTCTCAAACACTCAGTAAATTAATACTTCATGTTCTCAACAATGAATGAAATAAGAAAAATGAGTATTATGATATTTTCACCTTCATGTTAATTACTAATTTTTAACACATAACAAACAAACACATACAAGCCTAATCTTTTAAACAATCAATACATTATCCTTTTGACATAGGCTTAAAATAAAAAGCAACATGAGCAAAACATCAAAACTAAAACTTCTAGGGAACATCTTCCAGATGTAGATTCTTCAATCTTCAACAATCTCCCCCTTTTTGGTTTTGATGAGCCAAACTCTTCATGTTGACTTTCACAATCATCATGTTGTTTTGTTTCACTTGTTTGTTTGAAATTTGAACTTGAATTTGAACCTGCATATGTCTAGAACAAAAACTTCCATACAAAGCATTATGCAGTTCTATTTCCATTTCTTTCTTATACAATACATAAACAACCATATAAACATTTAATCAGTTTCTCATGAATTTCTCCCCCTGTTTGGCTTAACCAAACCAAAAAAAACAGAGTAAACAGAGAAATAACATGATACTTATGCAACAAAAACAACAAGCACTTAATAAGACTTTCATCATATAAGCATTAAAAATGTTCAGAAGCATACAAATACTACAACTATTACAAACTTTAAGTCTGAAATATAAATCAAAGTATTTATGCAGAACAAATTAAAATGCAGTGCCTAAAATGTAATGCATAACTAAAGTTCTTCAGGGTAGGGTATGTTCATCGCATCCAGTCGTTCAGATATAGATTCAAAACAAGCCTTCAGCTCTTGATAATCTCTTCTCTGAGTTTCTCTGATGTCATCTAGCTTTGCCAGAACAGATAGCTCAAAAGTAGAAAGAGGCTTGGGCTCTTCAGCACCTTCCTCTTCTTCAGTTTGAACTTCAGGTTGAGACGGCTCTGTAGTCTCAGCAGTAGGAACATCTTCCTTTGCTATCCAACCAGCATCTGTTTTCACTAGCTTCATCATTTTCAGAGCTCTATCCTTGATATCATGAACATCTCTGGTGACCTCTCTTGCTTCACCAGTTAAGGGAACTTTATAGAACACCAATACCTTGCTTATGAACACAGCATATGGACACTTGCAGTCCATTAACCTCCTTGTCTTTAGCATTATGTCTTCTACCACATATACCCAATCAACTTGAATGTTGTTCTTAAAAGCTGCGAGCAGTGCCATATCTTCTTCACTGATTTGTGCGTGATTGCTCCCCCTTGCTGCCAGAATCCAGACAATTACATAATGTAGGAGTCTATCTTCCATTCGTAGACCTCCAGCATTATATGTAATTTTCCTCTTTTCTTTTCTTTTGTATTCTTT